CTTCACAGGGACGGCATAGGATTTTACCATCATACTACACGCATGCTACACTCTTTCTCCTTTTTCTTTGATTTTTTTTATCCCGAGCCTATACCTCCGACCATTGTCCTGTTGGTACCGTCGACTTCAGTCAACCTTGGCGAAAGCTGGCCTGATCACCCACGCTCTAGTCAATGCTCTCAGTCGATTTTCTGGTGACGAATATATCTGGTATACGAATGGTTTCGCACTGGTCGTTTCTGGCTCTTCCGCTCAATCTGGTTCCGTCCTACGTCTGCAGCTTTATTTGGTCCGGACCCCTACGAACGCAATTATCAGACACTGGATACGAGCCACGCTGGTGTGGTATGCTAACCCGGTGGACGAACTTGGCGCATAATTATTGGCACGGCAGCGGACAAACTCCCGGTGACAACTCGAGCTTCATCAGTCGCTTCCTGTCGTCAACCATTCTGCCCGTTATTCGAATATTGGCCGACGAGTCCCCTGAACGAAGCCGCTACATATCGAAAGTGTAAAACCCTTTCTAGGGGGGGGCTCCTGTAGTGGAACTATTTCGTCGAAATAATACGATTACTGACGTACAAATACTTATTATTGAACATATGTAACATTAACTGTTTTATTGTATATCATTTGTTTATTTATACTAAAAGTCACCTTTCGCGCTCCACCCACGCCATCCCTGCGGATCTAACGATCATCTCGTGTAATCATCGATTGTACAAGCTGAACACGTGATATTATTCTAATATCACTCGATTTTCTATCAATAAACGTTGATATCCTATATACAATCTTCTGTTCTGGAGTTCGTTTGGACGTGTAACCTTCACGCTTCAACAGTACGGCGTGAGCATATTGAACCAAGTCATTCATCACTGCAAGCCGTCTTTAACCAAGTACAGTTTGATTAGATATGGCCTTGGTTGATCGGTAAATAATAATACTATGCATAATGTATTAATAACATCAAGCTACTAAGTTTTTAGGTGACCTAAGATTACTTTACGATCCCTACAGCAAATCATTCTACCTCGTTTTTACATCCTGTACAGAGGGGTTATACTGATTTTCAGTCTAAATTTTAGGGGCTCCTTCAGCTATCTATCTGTGCATAGCTAACGTGCAGTTAACGTTAGAAGCTTGGAGGGTGTAAGAAAACCATTTGTAATTGGTTTCTTATTGCAAAGGCCTTTACACAAGTTTGTCTTTTTTTAGGTTCATCATCCTGTCATGTATCAAAACACTCCTGTAATACAGAAAATTTCTAGCCCCACTTGGTACCATTCTATATAGCTAAACCAAAACGCGTCAACACATATCCGCAGATAAACTTTGATCGAAAAATTCCCGTATCTCGTGACTATAGGCTCAGCAAGAGACCGCGATATTATACGGATCTAGAAAGAACCATCGAGCTACTCTGGTACTAAGGGTTCTCTTGATTTCTTAAGCAGAATTCCGTTCACGACACATTGACATGCGTCGACCGATACAGCAAGATGATTAGCGAGGAAATTGGTATTTGGGGACAGGGAAAGCAACGAAGCTGAATTTCATACGATTTTCATAACGAAAATGCCATAGATGACTTTTAGGCGTACAGAAAATAAGCGAACTAAAAACTAAAACGACAACAACTAATCAGAAAGCGCAAATTATATGAAAATCAAATTACAGAAAAAGAGCGAGCACTAACCGTTTATTCCGAATATCAGTTCTACTGGGGATCATTTCAGCACCAGCGAAACTAAGATTGCGGTTTGGGAGCAAAAAACATTTGCACTGGACTCGGGGTTTAAAAGGCTACTTGTCTGGATGTTAACCGTAGAGAATCTGGATCTGACAATTCTGAAAATGGACATCATGAGTTTGTTGTCAACACTCGGAGACAACATTATACACTTACGCTTCCTGCATCGATGTTGCCTAAATGGGCAGTTTCGTACATTGTGCCATGAACCACAGTCTTTCGGACTGAGCTGGAGTGGGATGGACTGGATGTAGCAAGGCACATTAACTCCAATTAAGTGCCTGCTGTACTAAATGCACTTCAGATTGACTAGACCCACCACTCTGCGCCGTTGTCGTGTGTCGTGTAGATTGATGAGACGTTGCTATTCATTAACCATTTCAGTAAGGGTGAGAAGTGTCTTGATCCAATCGACACGATTAGTCGTGTTCTTCGAACTGAACTTTTGGGACTGGAGGCTGCAAATGAGGATGAAGGCTTTAAATTGGTCTTCAAACAAAGACTTCAACCGGAAACGTTTGCATTCACGGTTGACAATGCCCACATGCATAAGAAAATCATCGTCTTCGTTCATAATAGCTTCAAGCATCGATAACGAGTAATAAACAGTGACGAGTTGTCGCCGAAATGTAGGCTTAATATCTGGACTATATCTGAGAATGAGCGATCTCGTGGGTTCAAAGGCAGGATCAAATGATAGTTCTTGTCCAGCTCACTTGCCTCAAACTTTCGAAGTAGCAGCCGAACCTCCCAAGTATCATCTTGATTGGCGAAATCAAATATAAATAGGTCTCCATTACGCCGGAACAACATTTCAAAAGTAACGCTGGCATCAGGATCGTAATGAAACTCAGCAATGCTATTTGTGATGCCGTCATGTGATGGTGCTGTCGTTGCATTAGATGAGCTAGGCTATATGGAAGGCGAAATCTCGATATCTGTTGATATCTGCACTATTTTCACTAATAATTCAAGTTTGAAAGGATCCATGTTTCCAAAATCACCGTCGCAAATTGATATGCTCGTAGATTGACATGCTTGAAACTATACGAGTTCACCTTACTCGATAAACGAACGGAACGATAGGCTATTCTAGTGCTTTGTCCTAGCCCCGGTCCTTTACAACAAGAAGTCTTGATAAGGAGTAGAGAATGTATTCTACAAGTATCCTGAAGATACGAGGTTGCTAAGCACACAAATCAAGCTTGCTTATGTAATGATAGCAACGCCCTTTTGAGAGCCACAAAATAACGCACTAAAATATTCCTTCGGGGATTTTCCGGGTGGGAAATGCGAGCTAAAAGTCAAACGGAAACATAAAAATTCTGAAGTTGGGAACCATCGCTAGTGAGTTCTGGGGAGTTCTGCGTCCCCAACAAGTGACAAGATAGCTTTAGATATGTAGTGCAACGTAGCCAAACGTACGACAGATATCAAACAAATAATGCATCTTCATTGGCTTGATTGAAAACATTATTAAAAATAATTCTTCGAATGGCCTTATTTAACCACCTAGTGAACAGAAAACTGCATTATGACTCACCATGTTTACATGAAAACATGCAACATACCTTCACTCTAATTCCCACAGTTTGGCTTCTATTTTGTTTAGGTTTAAAAATCTTGATTTGTCGTGTAAATCAGCGTCATTGACGTAAGCTGGTATGAATCGATCAATGCTGTCTGTGTCCATCAACCTTGAAGGTATTTTCGTGACGAGAGGTCACGTGAAAAGATCCTTCGTAAGGCTGTTGCGTACCGGATCTACTTTTAAGAAAAAATATGGACAGGTGCATGACTCTCGAGGAAGAGCGACCTGTCGATGTTATATTCGAGTTCACACCGGAAGCAGTGTTCTCATCCACGCAGATAGTCGTTTGTTGTTATCTGATATATATAAAGTCGCCGCTCCACTGTATAAAAATTTCCCCAGGCAGATGCAATGTGGTGTCTTGAACAAGTTCAGAGACGGAAAATTGGATATCTGCCGCTGCCGCCCTGTAATCGCCGTGTGATCTCCAATTAATGCCATCATTTTTGCGAACCGAATGGAGAGAGGAGGCTCAAGCACTGTGAGAAAGACGAAGCAATACATAGAGCAAATGAACTGAAAAACTCACGCTTAGCGAAAACTAATTTGCCCAGTGCCAGTCCGCGGGGTTTTGCCATGAAAGGGGGCCTACAGGTGACGATGTGGCTTACCAAACAATTAATCACGAGTTGAATCTCCTCGGTTAAGTTACTTTGGGTAATTTATCAAATATAACATAAAATAAATAATAATGCGAAATATATATTGGTGATTCGCTATGGGGGCATCAGCAGGGATGAACGTCCATAGATACTGTCGTCGATTATTCAGGTTGATCGTTAGCTGTCGTGTACCGTAGGTAGGAATGACTTAGACCATTCGCAGCGCGGGGTACAAGTACCTAGCGTTAGTGAGAAACTCGTGCACGTATAGTAAACTGACAACCTAAAGTGACGGAGAGAAGACAGGTGGAAATGCAATGACCTGCACCTCGGAGTCTATTATTATATCCATCCACCATTCCGGAAAGTTGTTGCAAGTATAATATATATTAAAGGACGTTATTAATAGTATTGCAACATTATAAAAATGGTGATAGATGAATAGTAGACTAACCGTAATTGCCTTCTTTGAATGAAAACGTTAGCTTACCAATTTTCGTGCTGACTGAGTCGAGATTGACAATGATCACCACTAAATACAACTTACCATCACGTCACCAAAATTAGAAACAAATCCAGGGCAAAGAATCTATTTGAAGGGAAAGGTGGGCGTTACAGCGAGCAGCAAGTTATGAAGGATGGAAACAACGCGAAAAAATAACGTTGCACGCAAGTGATTGTTTTTAGTACAGTTAAGTAAGACGAGTGCAATAATAAATGTTTATTTTTCACCAGCTGCGTTTCCTTCGTAGAAGCGTTCTGCTACAAACTCATGTGCTTCCAATCACTGTGAGTTTTGATGTATGCTGACGGTATCAAGATATGTAGAACGATAAAACATGATATTTAAGATCCGCAAAATAAATTGTAAAAATTATCCAGATCGTCTGGAATTCGTCAAGAGCCAGTAAATGCTTTCAGGTGCATGATGTTTATTGGTGAATGAGGTACAGATGCATACACAGCTATTTTATGTAATATGTTAAAAATTTTAACGCCAGTTGATGACTTTATAATATTGATCAAAGCCTTATATCCTCGTCAACTAAAAGCGGTAAAAGCATAATGAACCGACGTCCTTCAGTTAGCCAATCACAATTACCTTAGAGCTTGTGTGAAATTTGAAGTGCAGCGATCGGTAACCTGTTCCTTACTATTGACTAACTAACAATTGAAATTATATAGTCTTTAAAATGCTTTTAATCAACAGGGATTTGCATCTTTATCTCGAAAATTTAATTTAGGATGATGCTTAAGGTAAATTACCGATGCATCACCACCACTCCACTCGAGGCAATCCTCGAAAAATTGCGCATCAAAGAACGAATACTCAGGTTCGTGCACACTTTTTCTCATTAAGAGTCGTTGCAATTTGGAATGCTCTCCCAGACGATGTGACCGCAGCCCCCTCAGTGGACAGCTTTGTTAGAGACTTGATAAACACGTACTCACATACGGATTATCGTCTCCCTCGTGGACGAGCTGTGCCTGATGCGTATCATAAGATCTACTAGTTTTTATTATCGCCATCTGCTCAGATCACTAACTAAATCTATCTCGCCTATTATTTTTGTATCCTCTCCCGTGCTTACACTTCTGTCCTTTCGCACAATCTTCACTACCAATTAATAAACTAAATTATCTACTTATTTACTTAGTTCTGAAACCTTTTAAGAATTCGAATTTTCTCCTTATTATTCTCCACTGATCTCCGAGTTGGTAATGTGATTGCTGCTAGGATCTTTAAAACCTACTGCCCTGGGAAGAACGCTCCCACTCAAATTATGAGACATCAATTCATTAATAACTGCCAACTGGCTAGAATTAGTGCAGTAAAATAAAATAACACATAACATAAAGTAGCACGTAAATCCTCCGGATTGTCACTCCCTCTCCCCCCTCAGTGCTAACTAGTGTCATTTTTCACATATATGACCCCGTAGAGCGTAACTATCACTAAATTATCACCTTAACCTCGTTAATCAGCATCGAAAATTGTTTTACTTAAATATACCTCGTACTGTATTCCCCTAAATTCTTAGAAATCGTTATCCATCTAGCAGACCTCAGACCCAGATTTGTATTTTAAGGTTAGAAGGCTGACGGTATGTATCAGTGTTTTACTAGGAAGACCTTTGAGTGCCTAATCTTTTAAGTGAGTCAACTGAAAGTGCGGACATCTCTGCTTTAGATAATAAGTTTGAAGAGTTGATTACTTGGAGGGTAAACGTATATGTCAGGGACATTTTGTTCTTTTCTGGCTCTCTAATTCGCCTTCTGTTATTTGAGTTTTCCTAGTGTGGTAAAAAAGACAGATCAAGTCCAGAATTAAATTTTAGTACTCTATGCAGCAGAATTAGATTATCCCTTCATCTGAAGTTCTAACTTCTCAAGCCTCACTGTATGGTAAGTATAAGAATTACGCCAGTTTCTGAGCTCTGCTCTTTCTAAGAAATTCGAGTCATCTCTCAAACAAGGGCTTGGAACCTGAACTCATTTTCATGTTTGAGTCTGAGTGGATCGTATTTTTATCCAACATAGTGAATGTCCGTCATAATATCCATGAGGTTCTTACCTTTTTAACTCCAACCGTGAGGGAGTAAGCTATAGTCTTAAAGTTGTGACTTACTACTACCCCAAAGTCATCGTGAAACAAGACTAAGAACTTCACTTATTTACCTGTGTCCGATGTGCATGTGGAAATACTTAACCATGATGGCAGGCATTAATCATTAAGTACTGGCTTCCATGAACAAAAAATGAAAAACGGCATGCTTGGAGGAATTGTTATCTATGTGTGGCTAATATATTTAAAAAAGCATTAGTGCTCAGAAATATTGGATTAGCAGTTCGTTATGAATTTAAGATGAAGAGAAATCCTAGTTTGAATTTACTTCGGGTTTTCTAATTTTTAATGATACTTTAATTATAAATACATCAGGCTACTCGATATCCGTTTATTGCCATTATCGTTGAGATTAAAGGTTTCAGTGAAGATGTATATTACTTCCTTTGATTGTTAAGAAACTTTCTAATCTTTGCCGCTTTATCCGTCATATAGCAAAATATTCTCCGAGAGTTCCAAAGCAAGCTTATTAACCGAGAACCGTTTCATTAACTGAACTGTGATATGCACCTTAGGACTACAAAATGGCACAAGAAAGTGTTATTTTCGATAAATTAAAACCACATTACAAAATTGTCTCATCTTTTTTGTTTAAATAAGACTAAATTATCACTCATTTATCAGTCTAGTATTTTTGCCGTCTGACAACATATTTGTAGTTTTGTTTCATCGTCTGCTTCTTGAACTCTTCAGAATGACGACAGTTTCAGTGGATGACGGCGAAAATATCCTGAATGAAAAAGACAGAAGCGCGAAAATTAAAAAACTATCGAGTATAGCGAAATCATGGGGAATTAATGGAACAATGACAATACGTAAATTCAAATTGATCAAACCTTTCTTTCCTCTCTAGATGAAATTGGTTTACTACTCGTCGAAAAGTCCTCAACATATCCCGTGCGCAAAAATGTAAACCTTAGTTTACTTTATTTTTGATTTATTATGTATGTCCTGTCAAAAATACTTTATTTATATCCTTTTCTTATTTTTTTCTTTCATTTTAAAACAATTTTATCAAGCTTTTAGAAGCATTTCATTTGTTGTATCAACTGAAAGCACCCGATGACATTTACCCACTAGTTATTATCGAAAAAATCATCACTTGTTTAACTTTATCACTAACACATGAATATAAACTTGAAGCATTGAAAATACTACTGTTAATAGCGTTAGTGTTAATAAAATTAAACTTCCATATTATCAAGTCAGGAGGAGAAAGGATTGCGCAATATATTAAGATTACAAGGTTGTGATGCTACGCTCAATCTGTTGTTTAGAGCTGAAGAAGTTTTAAAACCTCATTGTCTAAATTTACTAATCAGGTAATTGTTGTAAATATTTATTTACTGACTATTTATTTTGTTTACGCTAGTAATTCTGTCTGGAAAATATTGTAGTACATCCACTGATTTTTGTGAACAGAGTTGTCAGATTCACTCAGTCTTCGCTTATTACCTTTTCTATTAAAAATAAGGTGTATAGAAACTATGTTAAATCTATCTGAAAATATTAAGCTAATAATTTGGTGAATAATTTACTAATACATATAATATCAGATCCATTTAATTAGTTCAAATACTGTCAATAAGTAAACAGGACTAGAAAAAACATTTCAGTGACTGTCTTATCATATTTCGAATATTAATTTAACAACATCAAAACATAAGATTCTGTTTTTAACAGAAGTGACTTTTTCACACGAGAGCTGGTGTAATACATCTGACTACGTAACCTGACTTAAGTTCACAGTTGACCTCTATGTTGCTGTTACATCAATATTTAAAATAACTTAAAGAGAGTTATTGAGCACTGACCGTATTTTGTTTGCTACAATGAGACTGTAATTTGTGGACAACCTTTCAGTCATACCGAAGTGACGTTGGGAAGAATCGACTATTTGCTAGGGTCTAAAGAGGGTAATAAATTAACATGAGAAAATAAAATTGGGATGTAGAGCTAGAAGTTAAGATTTCCATCACAAACTTACATCAGCTATAATACGAAAATGCTGTTCAGTCATATGCATTAATTGATTCCACTCCAAAATCCAAGACGCTCTATCCTAAATCTAATTGATTTGTCCACAAGTTTCAGTCTCGATTTTGTTTTTTTTCCAGGTTTATTAACCTTGAAATTACTTAAAAGATTCGTCCCAACGTCCAATTTTACTAAGCATGAATACCGGGAAACTGAATTTGAATATTTAGTGTTCGTTAAACATTGTTTACGTTAATGGGCTCGTAGATATAACTCCTTCCTTACGTTCCATAAGATTTAATTTGTGTATACTAGAGGGTGATGATGTGACCGATGCATCCACAACCTGAATAAAGTCACCCTGATCTTGAGTCATTCCTTCACAGATTCTGATCAATCTGTGGGTTGTAAAGAAACCCGTTAATTTGGACGCAATCGAAAGTAAATTCCCCTTCCTGTCGATATTTTTTGCATAGATGGTGTAGATCTTTTTTGTAGATTATCAGGATAATTGATCTATTTCAAGATTTAGGGACGCTCTGATTTCTAGACCTTTCCAAACAATTCAACAACAACAGCAACGCAGAACTTCCAAACAATTCAGTCAGTTCTGTAACCAAAAGTTCTTTACAATCCTTATAAAAAGCCTGGAATGGGTTATCTGTACCTGGTAACGTGGGATTTCATATAATCTATGTTTGCGGAAATAATATGGATATATTATCTCATTTATCATTATTTTTGTATCAGTTTTACATTCAATTCAGTCGCTTTCTTATAAATTTTTTACAGTAGATAATAATATTCCATTAAAATCTTTTTATAGGATGTCAGAATCTTTGAGAGGAAGGATTGCTATCCTTGAATATGTGGACTCATCTCAGCAACTTTTGCTGCAACTGCAAAAGTCGAAAAAATTCAGTAATCTAATACTTCAGGTACATTTTAGTTAAAAATGGTTTATTATATTGGATGTGTTTGTATTTTACTTTAATAATTCGTTACGGAACACATTTGTGGTACAGTTCATAGGTGTATAAAGTATACATCCTTTTTATCATCTAACATGTTCAGAATGACTGGTGAATTTTAAAGGACTATAGATAATATTTTGTACTGGATAGAGAAAAGTTTAAAAAAATACTCAATATAGTCAAAATCGAACAATCTATTCTTACCTATTAAATACTAGTAAATAAACGAACACAATTTTTGTTTACATACTTTGAGTAGGATAATATTCACGTTGTATGAAAATCAAATGATTTCCTTTCTTACCACCAAATCCTTAAATTTACTCATAAGTAATGTGATAGTAATCACTAGTAAATAACTTGTTTTCATAGTTTCTACAGGTTTTGTCCTGTTTATGAGATCATTTTTTAGAAAAATTTATAGATAAGTGCTACTTTGAACTATGAGACTAGCGCAAAATAATTGTTCAGCTCTTCATGGTCCCTTAACAATATTTTCGATAATATCACTTCGTAAATCAGTCATTAAAATATCTTTTCTTCTAAATGCTCTTTTGTTCATAGACTTTGTTATTTTTCTCTGTATTTTCTTTGCAGCTTATAACTAATTTACTGGGAGTACCTACGGCTAGAAAAATGTTCAATGTTCCGAAATTTGTAAGTTTCCATTCAACGCTCAGTAATCCAATAGATCAAATTTAGTGTGGGAAAAACTGTTTGTTTTGGATTTTACGCACTTAAAAAACAATTAGTTTGACTATAAAGTAAAGGATCTAAACACATTCGTTATTTCACTCCTACCAGGTCTAATCAAGCCTCAGATTGATGGCTGATGTTATATGCTTACGAACACGTGAATTGATTTTATAGTTTGAATTCCTACTTGTTGTATGTAGTGGTTCAAATCTCCGTCCTTCTTGATACATATGATGTTTTGACTACTGAGTTGCATGCAAAACTAAAGTTGTGTAGCACTGGTGTAGATGTTAAAATATTTCAGTTCCAACCATTAGGTCACTCTTTCTCATTGATCTAATTTCAGTCTACCACTATGAAATGTGAAAAGTTAAGCTGATTGATATACATTATTATCAGTTCCCATTTTATTCCTCTGTAGTTTGCCTTAGAGTATTTAGTACGTAGTAAGATTTAATAGTCCATTAAGTTACCGTGAATATCTTGTGCTATTGATAAATTTCTGTTCAATACTTTAAGCATCATGTTTGTGTATTTTATGTCTTGCAACTCGCATATATATATATATATATATATATATATATATATATATATATATATATATATATATATATATATATTACAGACACACGATCAATAAGCAAGCTATATTTTCTAAAAACGCACCAAACAACCGTGTTTTTTTAGTGAATTTCGGTTAGTAATGGAATCGAGAAAGCCGTTAAAGTGATGATTTTTGTGCCAAGGATTTTAACTGACATATATCATCAAGAAAATCGTTCAAAAATGCATATATACTCATAAGTACTGATCAAATGTTGTCCTTAGTGTCAACAACAAGTAAATTCAAACTTAAACAAATTCTCCACAAACCCCGTGTAGTAACAGTAATCCTATAGTCACTGGTAACTGGTTTCTATAAGTAATTTCTGAATTTCTATTAGGAAGCTATAACCGGTTGCGTTCAACTAAGTTGAGTGTTACCAATGATTTTGGGAGTTCGTTACGCAATACATGAATTAATTGAATTTAAACATCTAAACTAGTGAATCGCAGCTCAGCAGTGTAAAGATGGTAAGAACTCACCACGAAATCTGAAATTTCCGGGTTCAATCCTTAATAAGCTTGTGGATCCGCACTGCTGAGTAACCTCATAAAAGGTTAAGATAATTGATTTTAGCTGGTTATGTAACTTCAATCGTTCTCTAATGTAAACAATAACATTTCATATGATACTTTGTTTTGAAGAAAAAAAAGAATGATTTATCTTCTTTGTTACTATTAATTGTTTATTCAGATCAATTATTTATCCAGTGAATCCGATGATTCAGAATTAAATCTACGCAAACAATTAGTATTATGGTTAGTTAATTTACCAAGTCGAAATTTAGTTGATCATTTGGCTTCACAATATGGTTTACATGATCAAAATTGGAGTATTGATTAAAAACAACTAATTTCATAACAATTTTGATGAACACAACTTACTAGTTAACATTTTATACTCCGATTTATTTATTTTGTTTCTAATGAAAAATCTAATACTTATCAAATAACTTTTGACTTCTTTTTTTAATCGACAATAAAACAATATGTTATTGAAGAAATTGGGTGGAGGTTGGTAGTAAGTAGCCTTTCTCATATGAATTGTCATATGCTACAGTGATAAAGTAATTAATTCACTCTTCGCTATAAAACATCATCTTAAATAATAGGTAATATCTTATTAAAACTTTCAGCTTCTTTTTTTTATAAAAGTTTTACAATATGAGATTGGTGCTTAATAAAATAACACGAAATGTTTGTTATGTTTTTGAAGTGAAAAATTTGTAGACATTTGGTTAGATATCTTAAATTGAAATTTGTAATACTATTCATGTAGCTCATCCTACATGTATATATGAGTTACATGGAACCAGCAAATGAAAAGGTAATAGTCAACTTTTAAGTAATGATATCAACAATAGAATAGTTTAAACCCTTAAGGATAAGCGTTTTTAATTTCGCCATATACTAAATAGTTGTTTTGAATCGAACTGCTACGGTTGAAATATACGTTGACTATCAGCTTTTCATACCATAAAGATAATTATCGAAACGTCCAGAATCTCGACTTTTCTACAGATTTTACTTAGTCCAAAATATATAAAAATAAATCTGGGGAAGAATATTTTCATTCTAAAGTTAAAAGTAACTGTGCAGTGTTCTCTGGGTTAAATGCTTTGATTACGAAGCTTCCATTGCTGGTCTAGATAAAATTGTTAAGGCTTACTTCACATAGAAGTGGTCTGTCTAATAAGGATGAATGGGCTAAATCAATTTGTTCTGATTACCTAATTGTACTTGGAGATTCTATCAGCTCCATTTGTTTCAGTACTACTGTTCATTTGACGTGTTAGGTTTACCATGTGATTGGCTGAACTCCTTGCACATCTGTAACAAGCATCTATGTCACTATACCTACTGATTCCAGAGATTTTCAAATATTGCGAATTCTCTCAGTCCAAAATTTTCATATTTTCACAACATAACTAGTATCCATGGTTGCTTGCCTACACTGATTTGAGCAACTTATGTTTTACTGATAGTCTGTAGATGGAGAAGGCATCTACTTTATCCTCCCCAATCCCCGGTGCATTTTGCAACTAGTATTCAATTTCTCATATATATCGTGGCTTTTGGCCTCAATGGGGTGCAATAAAGTGATTATGTTAATTTTTAAAAAACTTAATTTTGTAAAGTTTCTTTACTTGTTACAAGAACGGAGTATTGTTTACTTATTTCCTACTGTAAACTCGATGTTTATAATCAGCATTTGAGTATCTTCAAGTTAATCTCACTGACTTCTGTTAAATTTCACATACCATTTTCTCGTGAGAGTTGTTTTGTTTCTATCAAGGGGAGTAGATTTGTGTCCTCAAAGTGAACCATGAATGTCATTGTTCAAGAATGATTTTGGAGTGGTGACAATTATCTTATGGTTCCATCAGATGGTCAGATATCCTGTAGAGTTTTCTTAGTGAATTGAAGGTTGAAGTTCCTACTAGTGGTAAAATCGGTCTTTGAGATGCCTTTCATTCATACAATTTCGACCCACTTCAGAACCAAAGGTGAGCAGGTCTATTAGATCTCAGTAGCCCATAATAACTCGTCATTTGATCAGTTTACTTTAAGTTCTTCTAACTTGACTGTTTAAACTTTTTGGTACGATTTATTAATAGTATGACAAAGCTTTTGTTTTTTATAATTTCAAAGTATTTCTTTCTTGACTGGTCAATGTTCAGAGATCAGTTTTTGATATGGTCGTAAACACAATCTTTCACTGTAATTCTTTTTGAGTTGTCTCAATTAATCTCTATTTCTTGAGTAATTATGTGACAGCGGCGAATGATCGAGTCTTCAAAGCCTCTCTGGTATTTTATTGTAATCATTTCTAAAGAATGTAATATCCTATTTATTGATTGGAATCCTGTGTTGTTACGTCCTTGAACTATCTGCCACCAATACACAGGAAATTATATCTCATTCTAGTTTAAATGCCTTGAAGCGATACGCTATCTAGTTAGTCTTGAGAGTGGTAGCACGTGGGTTCAGTTATAGCTAAACGGCTTTGGCAGAAGGCAGAAAAGTATTGTATCACGAGATAGGCTAGCAAGTAAAAGAAAGAGAAGACTAGTCGACCGGAACACTAATCGATTTATTCCTGATTTGATTTACGAAAAAAGACGCATAACTAAATATGATTTTGCGAGACCATAACACACAAGGATCTCAAAAAAAACAATGATACACAAACTAGCCGTTTAGGGTAGAAAAATAGAGTCTGTTACAAAAGTTTTCGAATAAAACAGAGTATGACGATGAATTATACACCAGCCGAAAGTTTGAACTGTACAGAATAAGATAGGAACAAAAATTAATGTTAGTATTCAGCAGGCTTTGAATTAGGTACAATAATGTCTCCAAAATAAGCTTCCATTGTTTATTATTATCTCTTGTTTCCCTCCTGACAACATGTGTTATCATCAAATAATTAACTTCTGATTTATTTTCAAAATTTTAATCAGTTGACTTTATCTGAGGGTTTTGTTGTCTATGTACATCACTCTCCACAGAAATTTTGGTAATGTCAACCTGAAAATAAAATTAATTCTGATTGTTACAACAATGAACTGAACGCAAACGCTTTACTGTAATACCAGAAAATCAAATCTAAATTCTCATTAACCATTCTTGAATGGATTTAACAACATCCGATTTAAATGTGGAATGTAGCATAGGTTAGTCTTTTGAAAATAGTGATATAAGTTATTTTTCTATAATGTATCGACAGAATCCTATGATTGCCAAGGTGTAGACAAAATGGCATTGTATGTGGTTCAATTAAAGATTAGTGTAATCATTTTGTTTAAATAGGAAGCCAGTCACTCCTCGAATAGCTTAGTAATAATCTTTATATTTATCGCTGAATAACATAACCTCTCATCATAAGTAAAATGTCGATTTCCTTAAAAATGCAAATATACTTTGCTTGTAAGTCGAAATCTATTGCTTTCTGTTAATCATCTCCAATTCAATTAGTCAACCTGATAACCACGTTGTAAACATGGCTGACATAATTCAACCGATAATAATCGGCAAAAATTGATGATTAACTAGTCAATGGTTTGTCTTATTATTATTTCCAAATTCAGGAGCGATATGATTGTAACTAAGACGGTTTCGAGCTCTTACGGGTTGATTAAAACATCGGTGATGGACAATTGATGGTGTCTGAAAAGGAGATTGAATTGATAGTGGTACTGGAGACTTTGTAGCTAGATCGTGGAGCCCAGATGCTTAAATTTGGCGGTAACTCTGGCTTGAGTTTAGCAGAAGTTGTAGTTTTTTCTAACAACGAATTTGAACCACTAAGTATAAAGTTTACTGGTTTGAATTATCACTAAGTAATCTTACTTGCAATGTTACGCCAAACATCCTAATAACAGAAAGCTTAAACTGTTATCATTTATCACTACACAAATCACTGATACTATTCAACCACTAATAAAAAATTTGTAGCTCAGTTGGATGATTGTGGTAGAGTTTCATTCTCTGAGCTGAAAGTTTTAGTTATGGAGCTTTCACTGTTCTTTTGAACAACATCTTCATCACAAACTTCGGGTGGAAGTGAAGTCTTCAAATTTCTCCACAAATGACTAGTAGTTATTCCTGTTGAGCTACTAGTCATACGTGGAGAAATTTGAAGACTTCACTTCCACCCGAAGTTTGTGATGAAGATGTTGTTCAAAAGAACAGTGAAAGCTCCATAACTAAAACTTTCAGCTCAGAGAATGAAACTCCACCACTAATTAAAAACTATTTCAAAGTACACTGAGTTAAGTATGATTTACTTATCTAGTTAACAGTCGAATTTGAAATCGTCGAACTGGACAATGCTTCACACTAATTAATCAATGACTAAATATATGTTCATATTATACTAACTCTTACATATTGAATATTAACAGTTTTATTTTATTTTCCTCGAGTCTTGGTAAAATACATTTATAACCAGTATCATTAACCAAATTAAATTTTTAAGTCTTACATTAAACTTCGTACCTAGTGAATTGATTCGTTGATTGGGTAGTCTAATTTCGTAAAAATTATTCCCCTTCTAGTCAATTATTTTATTGGTTAGTTTTATAGGGCGAAATTATATTATTAACCAATAGAATTTCCAAAATATGATTTTCTTAACCAGTTAAAATGTTGACCGCTAATTGATAATGGGAATTATGCTGTTCGCTTGATATTTCTACCTTTAATTTGTGTTTTTAAAACATATAATTAGAAATAAGAACATATTTTGAAAATTATTATTTCTTATTATCATTATGGATAATCGTATTCCGAATAATATGTATGATAGAATTATGGTTCCTCCAGGAATGCATTCAACACGAGAGATTGATGCATCCGATTTACATAGAATAAATCCATTTCAACCAAATAATAATTCATTTTTATATCAAGAGATTCTCAATTCAAATACATCAACATCATCATCATCGTCCTCATTAATAACCGGTTTATCCAGACCAACATTAGAGAATAATATATTAGATTCTATGAATTCGTCTAAAACATTATATGATAATAATTCGTTCAATCATAAACCTACATTAAATCAATATTTAGAACAATCAACAAATTTATTACCATTTATGTATCCTAATACATCTACTGATAATATGATGTATCATTATAATACACATCAAGAATGTCTATCCTCACCAAAATATCATTTTAATCATTCCGATATGATTAATTCATCTTTTACATCATCCACATTATCGCCATCCTCATCTTCGACATCAATATCACCATCATTAGCATCTAAAAGATTTCGAAATAATTTAACACGTTCAACACCAAATTGGACTTGTCTATGCTCACATCAATTAGATGAAATGAATGAATATAGAAAAATACCAATGAAATTGAATGTTATGAAACATTACACTAATGAAAGTAATAATCTTAGACAGAATGAAATCAATTTGAAACGAATTCATCGAACACATGAACATCATATAAGATCAAATGATAATAATTTAATAAATTTATCAGCATCATCATTATCATCATCATCGTCAACATCATCTCCATCATCAACCTCATTTGAGTGTGCTAGAAGTTTTATTCGACTGCGTAATGCACGTGAACGTGAACGTGTTCGTTGTGTGAATGCTGGTTATGAATCATTAAGACGTCATTTACCATTAACAATATTACCTGATAGAAGATTAGCTAAAGTTGAAATATTACGTGGTGCAATTCATTATATTAATACATTGAAAGAATTACTTGAAAAATAATTTATTTATTTTTTTTTTCATAAGAATTTTTAATTGTATTCAAGCTAATAATTAAACAATAAGGTTGATAATAAGGCATATCTTTTGAATATGTTTTTCAGAATTTTTCCCATCCTAAAAACATTCAAAGTGAAACATGAAACATACAAAGTTGTAGAGATGTAAATGATCTGGCAGGAAAAGTTTTTATTATTTCACATATTCTTCAATTTATTCTTTACGTAGTTCAGTTCAACTGTTATAAATCAATAAGTCGATGTACATGTGACAATCTGTTTTTTAAAAAAGTGTTTCTACAGTAAATTCCTTTTTTGTTCGGTTAATAGTGTGTTAGGAATTATTTTCTTAAAGTTTTTATTTTAAATTCTAAACTATTCTTATTCCTATGTTTTATTTTATATTCAACGAATACTGTTTCAATATTTGTAACATTCGAATTTTCAACCAATCAAACACAAATATTTGAATTTTGTTTCACTTAATGTAAAATTCACAAAAACATTATTCTTATTGAAAATTAACTGCATAAACTTATATTTCTTTCAAATATCAATTATGATTCAATTGTCAATCATATTTATGCAATATTTTATTGTTTACATAGTCAATAATTTTTGTTATCTTTTGGTTTGAACATTTTAATTTCACAAAATTGTAAATTTAAATAGAAAAAAAAACATTTTTTAAATCAAATTAAATGAAATTGTAATGCTGGAAGGAAAACAGTCGTATTAACAAAAAGTAATCAGTTGATATTCAACAAATGTAATGAACATATTTCACTTCTTCTTCACTTTCTGTTTGTGATATCAATAATGATTAAATATTGTTATAATTATTCAAGTATCAAACACTTCGTGGAATTTGGAAGAAATTAATGTTCAGAATAAAAGGATAATTTTCAAAATAAAAAAATTAATTACTTCATTTAATATTATTAAATATGATCTTCATAATAATTTGGTTTTGGTACATGATTCTATGGTCCAGAATATAAAGTAACAGTATTGGGTATTTCCTGATATTGTTAAAGTTTTTAAGTAATAGTGAACTAAAAGTGTGGTCTCATATGTTATCTAGGTTGATGATATTTTTAAGGAATTAGGAAACTTTAATTAGAATCTTATGTCATCACAATCATAATGATCATGACCATTAAGTGTTCGTGTCTACTGTCAACTTGACTAGCTTATTTGAATGATAGCATCGTAATCATAATTTTAAATTCAAAAGTATAATCGTTTAATTAAGTCATTCACCACTAGACGAAGAAGTTTGACCATAAACCATTCCATGTACACTTGCGATTAGTTTTGAGTTTCATGTTCTAAGTAGAACGTGAAAGTTTACATTGAGAAATAAGCAACTATTAGGCACTGATTTATTATTATTATTAGTTTAAAGTAAATATTTAGACGACATTATTCCAAGCTTAATTAACTATCTTTAAAGGGATTTTACATTTCAAAGATTCCTACTTATTGAAATATTGAATTTCACCAATTTTAAAACATGAACTGATCTAAGTTAAAACACCACAAGATCTAGGAACATTAGATGGCTACTTTTTCTGAGTACGAAACTCCTCAACAGGGCGTATCGATAACCCTGTGACAGAGAATCCATCCCAAAACCTTTGATATCTCATGTAGACGTTTAAACTCTAGACAACGAAACGGGTATCCAAAGGTAATGATGTATAGCTTCAATCGTGATATTGCACGACTACCTTATATCCCCTGCGGTAGGTGACTAAAAATGTTGAACCATAATTAAATGTTACATAATGTTATTTTGCAATCAATTCGTAATGTAACTTATTACACAGATATAAGCTTGATTATACAGTCTTTGAATTAGTCCTTTTCATATCCTACAGCTAGTATTATTACTCGATTGTTGAATCTGAACTAAGTATAACATGATTTTAATATGTTACTCTAAAATGATTGAAATTTACCAGCTATAAACATCCAATAAAACAACGTTATTTATAAGTTTTATTCCATGTAGTCGAATTTTCACCAACTATTCATAGTCTATAATAGAAACGGAAATTTAGTTTAGAAATAGAATTAGGAATATTTTCCCAACTAACGGCAAAGAAGTTGGACACATTTTTCAACTTGTACAAGTGCACAGAAAGCGAAATGAGAATCATAGAAATACATATAAAATTAATTATTTTTCGAAAATTCACTTTCTCCTATTCAAAAAGAACTTCGTGAAAATCGGAACTAATAGTATGAAAGTTCTTATATGACGTAAGACAAAAGAGGTTGTTACACTAAGTCAGCTGACTTTTGAGTTGATGATATTCGGTAAACTGATGCTGAGAATTTTTGTTTTGTAAAAATGCATCTGGATAAAACAAGAGAAAAAGGATTGTTTTGTTGGAGAAATGCCATAATGAATTAGGAGGAAGAGTAAAAGCGAGATCGTATGATTGCTCACTTTTGAATATGTAAATCGAGTTTTGGTTGTTTGTCAACTATGAACCTAATAAATCTGATAACTTTTCAGCTTATTTAAACCATTTCAAAGGGTTTTAATGCACCTGACTGATTTTTTTAGTATTATTTTATAATGGATTGATCTTATCACTGAAATGGTGTGTCCTTCTGAAAGAGCGACTTTTGAAACATATTCAAACAATCAAAAAGGGACTAATTCTCAAGTTACTTTTCTAATTTAGCTCTTTTTGAAAGTTGCATCTAAATTAGTACGACGGCTTGAAATGATCCTATTACTCTTATTATCTATTGTTATTTCTTATCGATCCCGTTCTTTCACTATTCAGTTTTTCCATTCTTCAACTTGTTACTTTCATTCATCTGAATCATTCTATTCATAAACTAGCATTATAAATAGTATTCATTTAGAATTGATTGAAACTAATGTAAATTCAAGCGAAGACATTTTCAAGAAGCCTTTCGATTTTATTTCCAACGAAGTGCATCATTTGACTAAAGTTCCAAGAAATATTTCAAAATCGGTCCTTATTTTCATACCCCATAGTTAGCTTGGTGAAGTATTAAATAATGAGTGCGATATACGATACATATATTCCTGTACTATTAAACCACTGGCCGACAGATAACACTTTTTCATTATCTCAATTTACTTATAAATGAGTAACCATCATCCTACTAAGTGTCATAGTCAAAACTTTCGTATCTTACTGTGAGTACAACGTCTCTGAGACATTGAAGGCATAGTGGACAAACAACTGACAATATACATTAATCGATAAACATTGTCATCAGTAAGTTGATTAATCGTTTGCAACTTCATTCAATAAATAATCTAGGAGTATTATAATGTTGTTGATTACTAGTTTGAAACTATTCATCAGTAGTATGTACTTATCTTCAAACTACACAAATTTCCCTATAAAAATACTTTAATAAATAGTTCAGAGATAGTTATTGCTGAAAATAAAATACCGAATGATTGTTTACTAATAATCACCTTCAGAATTCTTGTCAAATGTTTCAATCATAATTTAAAAGAATTTTTATGATTGTAAACTCTGTAATCACTATGATACACTTCTAAATAAACTTTTAAATTAATTTTTGTTAATAATTATATTATCAGTCACACAATTTCAAAGCACATAGTTGTTTTTATCAAATAAATTTTATTAACATAGAAATGTCCACAATTTTCGTTCATTATAACTTAAACCTAGTGTCATCTATTTTTAGTATCAAGTTCATGGTTACCTTTACTAGAATAATTCAAAGTATTTTTAAATTGTGAAACATAAATAAATCAAACACAAAATCCCTGTGAATTAATTAATTGAATTCAGATCCTAACGTAAAATTACTTGTTATTAAATATTTTAAAAAGTAATCAGTGTAAAATCGTTAATCATTTCAGATAGAAACTGTTATCCTATAAAATATATGCTCAAACATAAAGTACCTTAACTTCTACTTGAAACACTGTATTTTCTAGACTGATTCCATGATTAAAAAACATTCTATAAGTTAACTGGTAAACTAGTAATAGTTAAATCAGTTGTAAAAAGAGTTAAGTAGTCCATTCGTTTCATGTTCATACAACTAATTATTTATATTTAAATAAAGTATAATCAAGCTACTTATTTGTATTGTTGTAAAGGTTATTTTTCCTAGAACTTTTACTCATTCAGGCTATTGGGTAAGCACTCCTGATTGTAATAAATTTTGATAACAATTTTTTTCTATATGTTAATGTAAACGATGCATAAATTTCTAAGATAAATCATTAAATTTTTACATATTTCCGAAGTATTTTTCTTCAGAAGTTCACTCAATTATTACATTTCTTTGATTTCATTTGAGAAATAAAAGTTTTGACTCATTTATTACATTTGTAATTTCTTTTCTTTTAAATTTTGTTCTTCACTTTTCGTCATAAGAAATAAATACAATTTAAAAATTACTCAAAAAATATACTTTAAACTTGAACAGGTGGCTTGCGTTCTTCTTTCTACTTTTTTTTATTTTTGAAATCCTACGGACTATGTTAGACCTTTGCACGTAAGTCATGTGAAATTCACACTTGATAATATTTATGACATTCTATTGTTTTGTCTCACCTTTTGTGTAAAAATTCTCTTTTACATGACCGATTTACAAAAAAACCCATAAATTTCCAATGTCTAAAGTCAAAAGTTAGTTTAGTAATTCATATATATTCAAATTTTTCATGGATTTTAATAAGTGAACTAATATTTATCAATAAATAATTCAATATGTATATATCTAGAGTAGAAATATAACATATTGTGCATTGAAATGTCCTAATGTTCTATGTGAATTGTTTAGTTATTATATAAAAATGTTTGAATTAAAATAAACAAATTATATTTCAACAAAAATGGATAGTTTATATTCTCATTTATTTAGTACTTTATTTGTTACCTGTCTATAAATTGATCAAAATAATATTTAAATAACTCACTGAAACAATTAGATATTTTGATTAATAAGATAAAAATTTTGGCA